AACAGTGCTGTGCGGGAGAATGTTTCTTGTGTTTGAGAACGCCAGGTGGCTCGTAGTAAGGGCAGTGGTTTTTTGTTTGAGAAAACTGCTGTCTTTGATCAATGCTATCAGGTTATGCGGAGCCAAATTCTCCTCCTAAATTGAAAGCTTAAATACTTGATTGACTGCACTGGAATTCCTTCTGATCTAGAGCAGGATTTGACTTAAGAAATACACTAAATGCTGTTGCTCCGAGTGACCCAGAAATCGTTCTGCATGTATACCTTTTCTAAACTGTCCCACTGGAAATGTCCTCCGTTGAATTGGTGTAACATGAGAGACACTAGCTGCGGGCTTTTAACTAAGCAGCTAAACCAGCATTCAAGGTGGACATCAAAGCCTGAGGCACAAAGCAGAATTAAAAGCTGCTGAAGCAAACAAAAAAAAAAAAGGGGGGGGGGGGGAGTTGCTGTACTGAATGTCCTTACTCAGATTATAGGAAACGTGTGCAGAAGTAACAGAAAGGCACCCAAATGTTTGAAGTTTGCAATAGAAATTTATGGAGAAAACGTGATTTTCCCCGGATTTTGTAACTGTCTAGAATGTATTGTAATTATACTAATGAAAACAAACTATCAAAGTACATAGTGGTACTCTCTGTGTCTTCTTAATAGAAGAAAATTGGTCCAAAGGCTTTAATGAGTACTCGGGCCTTCTCATTCAGAAATGAGTCCGAGCTTGCAGGTGACTTTTTAGTTAAGAGGAAAAAAGGACATGGAACGCATCTGTCAAATACCAGAACGGTGAAGTCAAGAGTGCAGAGGTGGTCTTAGCAGAGCTGCTTGCAGCAGTCGGATGGGTTATGCCAGCCCTGCAGTCCCTTCTGCCGCAGCCAAGCAGCGTTAGGTTGGTTGGGTTCCTTGCAGTGTCACAGCAAACTGGAATAATGCAGCGGCTGTGTCCTTTGGCAACGCAGGTGTCCCAGCAGCTTGAAAGTGAGACCTAGGCTGCTGCATTTCATGGGATTGTCTGTTGCGATTGCCATTTTCCAAGGAGGAAAGAAGTACTGCTTTTACACTGGTGGAAAAATGCTACTTGGCATTTAACAGATTAAAGAGTCGCGCACTTTGAAATACGCAGTAGTATGCTATTATTTCCTGTGGCATAAAGATTAACCTGCTCTAAATACAGCCTGCAAACATTCTTTTAATATCCCAAGTGGGTGTTTCTCTCCTTGTGATTATTACTTTTTTCTCAAGTCTGAAGGGTTTTTTCTTCAGAAATGTCATTATCTTCCCTGGTTTCGTTGAAGCAGTCTGCTGGAAAGCTCAGAACGCGGGTGCTCATTGAAGAGGGTGGAGCACTTGAATCCTTTGAGAGGACCTTTCTTCAGAAGGTGGAGTTAAAATAAGAGATTGGAAAGAAAAGGGAAAAACAAAACTAGCTTTGAACAGCCCGACTAAAATTCCTGCAACTTTTCTAGCTACTTAAAATTAACTCCGTACTCTTTTTATTTGGTCGTTACCTGTATTTAGTCTAGAATTAAAAGATGGCACAAGCACAGATTCTTGATTTCTCCTTTAAAAGAGCAAGGAGGAAAGTTATGGAAAAAGTGAAGAATCTTGGCATGGTGCTTTGATACAGCATAATGAAAAAGGGAGACTATTTGCATCTGCTGAAATACGACATCAGTACGTGTTCTCTTTACGGAGCATCCTGAGTCGCAAGCGAGTTCAGTGTTCACATCTGATGAACATTTCCCTACCAGTTCTCTAACTGTTTAGGTAAAACAAGGTTAAACTTGAATCTGTGACTTTTTTTAAACAGTCTTGACTCTTACAGGCTTCCAAGAAGAGGTGGAATATTACAGTCCCTAAAATGTAACGGAGTCATTTAAATAGGCAGCAGACAACTTTATATGCATTTTTAATATGATTTTGTAATGCAAGCTGTAAAAGGATTAAAATGGGGGGCAATAATATGGTTTTTAAGGTGGTTCCGTAAATTTCTTTCATCCCTTAAACAGCTGTTACTTTCTTCTTGTAGATGTCAAAGAGAGCAGAAGGAAAACGTAATAGTAAAAGCAAACATTTTGGTTTTTAAAAAAATCAATGTTAGTTAAAAAAAATTTTTTTAAAAATTACTATTTAAAAAAAACCAGTTTATTTACAAATTCCCGAGGCTGTAACTTTAAAAAGTAGTAGCTTCCCAGTTATCTCGATCTGGTTAATGGAGCGCAGTCAGTTTTACCAGAGGAAACGTGGTCATAACGATTCGGCAGTCGGAAGCCCTGATGCTGCATCCGCCCCCTCCCCTCCCACTAACAATTTGCTATAACCCTGCAAGCGCCACTCATCTCCATGCGTTGCTTTCCCCGTGCTCCTTTGTAAACCACTGTGTAGAGCCTGCAGAAGGAGTACCACGTGGCGAATGCAAAATTTTGTGCCAGATCTGGCATAGGCTCAAGATACTTTGGGGAGCAAACCGTACAAATGCAGGAAAGGAGCACGCCTCTATAAACCCTCCTCCCCGTACTTCTCCAGGGTGAGACTTCCCAGTCTGGCAGGAACTAGGTCTGAGTGTCGGATTTCTCTGGATTTTTTTTTAGAAGTACTACTAAAATACAATGTTTAGTTACGGTGTCATCCTTCACGCAGAATGTACCTTTCCCATCACCACCAGTTTGCTCTGTGCATAGGAAGGCTGTCACTGGGACTGGAGACAAAATTCCTGTTAATATTAGCAATGCAGGAGATCCTTTTGCGTAGCTTTCTGTCGTCACTCAACGTGGCAGGGAAAGGGGCAAAATCCATCAGTGAGCATCGTGCCTGTGAATTTTAAAAAGCTAGTTGCATTTTTAAACGTTTTTAGTGTATGGTAGGAAGTGTTTTAATATATGAGGCGATCAAGGTTGCCCCAGGTAGCATTTTCAAAATACTACCAGCAGCTCATACGTAATAATTTGACAGGGATCTCTTGAGGTATCTTGCCGGTATGGCCAGGTCCTTATCAAACTGCTGTGCCCGCATGGCGTGGATCGAGGAGGAGTGGGTTCTCAATATATTCAGACACATTTGCCCTGTCAGATGAGCTTTTCCTCTGTGGATTGCAAAAAAAAAAAAAAAAACCAAAAAAAAAGTTGCTTATCTTGGGTTGCGTTGGGCTTTCTTGAAACTTTGCCAGACCTACACATTCAGAAACACAAGTGGTTTTCAGGTGAGCATCTCTTTTAATTTAAGCTCCAGTACTGGTGTCTAAGCAAAACCTTTGGATGCCAACAGCGCTTGGCGCGTAGCAGCTCTCTTTGGAGGAAAAGCAGCCGTGACCGGCTGAGCGGGCTTTTTTATCTTTATTTATTTATTTATGTATTTTTATAATCTACCGCTACGGTCCTGGATTCTGACCCAAGGAGCCTTTAGATGTAGATAGTCACCACCGTCACACCGTGGGCACCTGCTGGGTGAATCTTTCTTCACCTTAGCTGGTAAAAACTGAAATTTGATAGGCGTTAAACTGACTTTAACTGAAATTAAATTGCATGTGTGGTTTTTGGGGGGTTTTGGGGGGTTTTTTCCCCCCTCCAAGGCTGTGTTGCCGTTGCCGGTGGTGCCCACACGCAGTCAGCCGCAGCCCCACCGGTCAGAGCGGGGAGCCCGCGGGGCCCAAGTTCAGCGCTTGCAGCAGAACCTAGCTCACCCAAGGCTCCTGAGGAAAATTTTGCATAGCATAACAGTCTATTTTGTGGGCAGGAAGAGACCAAGAAAATTAATTAAGTCAGAGTAAGAAGAAAAAAATCCCTGTAAAGTGAGTAACCGCACTAAAGCAGCAGTTGCGAGCAGGCCAAGCACGTTTTAAGGGCTATACATTTTCACTTCCACAGCCTTGATAAAGAAAATGAAGTGACTTTGTTCTATATGCATATTGTCCACCATTTGTTATTGTCTGTCTATTGATGCTTACTTGAAAAACAAAATTTAATTAAACCCCACAGTACTGCATAGCCCGCCTTTGAAATATGCCCGCATTAGCAGATCATTACAGTAAATGAAATACAGCTTCATATCATATTTTTCAAATAACATCCTAAAACATTTACAAATTAAATAATACTCTTGCAGAGAGGAATTAAGAGACACGGTGTTTAGCAAGGGCAAAGAGATGTTTACAGATGAAGTCTGCAACGAGACGTGGAAGCAATGAAGCAGAGAGGTACCGGAGGGCTCTTCCAGACCTTGTTGAGATGGTTCTCCGCATACTAGAAACTAGACTAAGAAAGAGCATGCCAGCGCCAGGCGAGCAGGAAGGGCAGCGTCCCCAAACCCCCGAGGAGGTTTCAGCATGAGCTCATTCAGGGTCTGGGATGCGCTGGCGCAGTCTGCCAAGCCGGGGAGGAGAGCTCAGTGCACCTACGCACCCTTTGTGTCCTTTGGAAACCCGGCCAGAGCTGCACCGGTCATAGGGAAGCAAACCCTTACAACTGGCTCAGAGCAGTGAAAATCCAGACTCTCAACAGGCTGTGAGAAGAGATGCAGAAAGGTGGTCTTGTGGCAGGAGGAGAAATACACTGCTAATATTTACAGGAGGAGAAAACAAAGGGAGCTCTGGTGTCTTAGGGTAAGTAAAAGCACAAGCAGGTTAGTGAGTCATAGCAGCAATGCCTGATGCTGAGCAAAGCAAAGCACCCGGTGGCCGGCGACACGGCATCGGTTGCGCCCGTCCTCTTCCCGAAGCTAAGCGTTCCGTGCAGTTTTGGGTAGTTTCACTTTGTGTCTCCCTTTTTGCTGCTCCAAGTAGAGCCCCTGTCTTAAACAGAACGAGTCCCTTTCGGGGCAATATCAAATTAGCGAAGGCATCAGGTTTTTTCCCTGTAGTTTTCCCTTCCTCACGCAGTTGTTCAGGGGGAAAAGGTCTCTGCTACTAATTACTCTGGTTTTAAGATAGTGCCTCCTCATCTTCGTTTTTTTTTTTTTTGCAGCGTTGAAGGTCTTCATGCTATTGTAGTCTCAGACAGAGATGGTGTGCCTGTTATCAAAGGTAACGTCAGCTTCTCGCTGTGCCCGGCAGACGAAACCCTGACTGAACAGCAGGGGGTGGAAAAGTACAGCAGAATCTTCTCTGGTTGTGCCCCATACCTGAACATCCAAAATCATAGAGTTAAATCTGACTTTTCCTTCAGTAGTTGGTTGTGTACTTCCTTAAATTTATCTTTTTGTCCATGTATGTGCAATGTCCTCAGTGATTGTAGGCCACAGAAATTTTCCTCGGCGAGTAGGGTTGGAGCGGTGTAAGGTGCTTGTGATCTTCAGCTCGCTCGCAGGCCGATACAAAGTGCTAGAGAGCACTTGCTGGGATTTTGTTGACTTGGCTGATCTACGCTCAGAAGCAACTGCATCCGCCTTTTACGCGCATTATTTAATTTTGTTTGCTTTTTGGTACTGTAACTTTTATACATACCCCTGCCTGAAGCCTTTTTAGGATCTTTTTATGCTGTGGGTAAACTAGTTTAAGAGTACCGATTCAAATACTGCAGATTTTTTTTTTTTTAATGTCCCCCAGTATTTAAACACGTAGCAGAACTTGCACATCTTCACCTGTTTTCATTCAAGTGACTCTGTGCCAGTGATCATTTCAAAGGGTGGAATCAGTGCAAACAGGATGCAGACCCCAAGTGACATCAGCACAGGTGGTGCATCATAAAGGAAAAGAGACTGTTTCTTAGGTGTGCTAGGGAGGATGCTGGTGTAACGAGCATTGACCGTGTACGGAATATTAAATGATGTACTGGTCATGAGGATTGTCCTGTATTCGTTGTGGAAACACGTAGGAGGTGTTCTGTTTCCCCAATGCCAGATCTGCTTTTGGCAGAGCACTGAACTGGATAAGGAGTTGGGATGCAGTCAGCGATGCCATGTAAAAATAAGAATTTTCTTGTTTTATTCCAGTTGCCAATGATAACGCTCCAGAACATGCGCTGCGGCCTGGCTTTCTCTCCACCTTTGCCCTTGCCACGGATCAGGGCAGTAAACTAGGGCTGTCTAAAAACAAAAGCATCATCTGCTATTACAATACGTACCAGGTGAGTAACCTCAGTGTGGCCTGTTCTGGGTGACCAGAGCTGTTCCTAACCAAGGGAGAGGTGGTTTAAACTCTGCTAGATTTCCACCTGGCTGCTATTAAAGTGTTTGTGGTTTATTTCTCACACTAGTGAAATGGCCAAGCTAAACTTCTGTACTATTCATTAAGTTTCTCTTCTGTTTCTCAAAACGGAGATTTACTTGCTGAAAATGGTGAATTTTTCTGAACAGGTGGTAATTGGGAATTTGCAGCAGGTGCTGCTCATATGGCCCTCAGAATCTGTTAGGAAGTGTTTATGTTCTCTATTAAAAAAAAAAATTTAATTAGTGACACTTAAATAAGCACATGTAGCCTACTTCATAGCTGATCTTGCTGCCAGTATGACTCTGAGGTAAGACAGCTTTGAAATACCACTCACTTTTTTTCTTTTTTTTTTTTTTTTTCTTTTTTACAAACTGGTTATTTGTGTCCTGAAATCAATCATCTACTAAGTTTCTGCTCCTTCTCAAGTTCTGGTTTTCCTGAGAGCCTTTTATTATGACTGCAGTAAACTGGCCAGCTGTTTTGCCTACAGTATCAAGCCTTGTTTGGAAAATAAATGGGCGAATGGGTTAGCTTACGCACATTGAGTACATTGCTTTGATTCTCTTGATTGCTAGTAGCTTATTGTTGTGCTCAAGATTCCAGTTCCCTATTAACGCAAGAGGCGATAGCGCTATACATGGAGTAGTATTTTAAAACAATAAAGCTGCCTGCCCTCTTGTTGCCTGTGGAGAGCCTGGTCTCCACAGTGTACTCCACAGCATTTGCAGCCGAGTTAGATTTCGGGTGGATAGCACTGCAGAACATGGGAGGGAGGGAGGGAAACATCAGGCTTTCCACATGCAGCTTCCTGTTCTGTGGTGGTTTTAACCATGAAGCTTATGGAATAGATGCCCTGAAAAGTCAGCTCTGTGGCTCTTGCTTCTGCTTGCTTCAGAAAGAATTCTACGTGGCAGAGCTCTGACATGCAACACGTGTTAGCTGCTGGCTGAACACTGTTCTCTCTCCTTGCAGGTGGTGCAGTTCAATCGCTTGCCTTTGGTAGTAAGTTTCATCGCTAGCAGCAATGCCAATACCGGTACGTCTTCACATGTATTTTAAATGTGGCGGTATTTTAAGGCCTAGATGTTTAAGTAACTGAAAATAAATTACCTGAATTTACTTCAAGATATATTAACTCTGTTCCTGCTATCAGTTTTGTTAGTGTATTCTGAAGGGGAGAAAGGAAAGGTGTGAGTAAAAAACCAGATTTTTAGGTGACTTGCTGAAGTAGTTACTCTCTTAGCAGCACACTTCTCCTGTGATTAACCTTAGTGAGAGCGTTCACTGCCCTGGCAGTGATGGTACTGTACAAACCAGTTGTTTGGTCTCTTCCCCTCAGTTCCGAGTTGTGTTCCACAGTAACACATGCGGCTTCATCTTCTTGGTTCTGTGGGGTGGGGAAATCCATCATCAAGGCACCTGGCCTCACTCGTGAGGGCGTGGCTAATGAGAGTGTGAGCAAAAGGGATTTAATTCTCACGTGGCTGCTCGGGCCTCGGTGGCTGTGGGAAGCAGGAAGGTGGTAGCAGAGGCAAGCGGCAGCATGGGAGGGTAGCTGCACTGCACGCTGGCCTGGGGGCCACAGGCACCCTGCCCGGGATTCCTGTGGATGAGCGAGCAGCCCAGGTGGAATGTTTCATGTTTTGGAAAACGCTGCCTGAGACTTGGGAGGGAGCTGCGGGGACTGGAGGAGAGAGGCTTCTCAGTGAGGTGGTTTGATGGGCTGTTGTGTTTCTTCTCTCTTTCCAGGGCTGATTGTAAGTTTAGAGAAGGAGCTCACGCCCCTGTTTGAAGAACTGAGGCAGGTTGTGGAAGTTTCTTAACCTGATGGTACAGCCGGAGTGCAGCATCCCTCTGCAGCCCAGTGGACAGAAAGATTCAATAATCCTCAGTCAAATAACACGTCTCAGAAGAAATACCACAGCTCCTTAGTATACTAAGTAAGAGTAAATTGTACATAGTACTGAATCTGAAATGATCTACTAGTGTGTTGTAGGTGGATGTTACTTTAGGCCATGCTTCTTGTATTGCGCAGTACTGGAGAGACCACCAAAATAGCTCCCATGGAGTTTAGCTCAGCCAGCTGAGCCAGAGCGGTGTGGATGCTGTTGGCTCAAATGAGCAACCCACAGATCTCTTGCTTTACAGGGAATCGGGCACGCAGAGGGGTTTATCCTCCGGCCAGCTACCAGGACGTGTTGGAAAGCAGATGGGTTGTATAGTGTTAGCAAAGGTGTGGTTGAAAGAGTATTGTGAGAGCAAGTTTACTAGCAGCGATGTGTCAGTACAATCAATAAACATCCCAGCTTTCTTACGTGGGTGATACTTTAGCAAGGGAACGCTACTAATCTGGATGCTAGCTGCGTCCTGCTTCCACTAAGAAGAAAGCTATTTCTATGAAAGCTGTTGCTTTAGGGGTTTTCCTGATGCCCAGATAAAAGCACCCGAACAACGTCTCACTTCTTCGTGGGGTTTTTGTGTAATATGGTTGTGAAGATCTCATGTCTCATAGTCTCTGTGTGGGTTCATCACTGGTGACACTCTCAGCTCATATACCCTTAGGTTTTCCTAAGTAAATAAATATAAATAAAATACAGTATTTTTAAATGACAGAGCCTGGTCCGCTCTTCTGTTGCACCATCATACGCTACAGCACATCAGCTTTTCTGTGGAGAGAACAGGTATCTTAATTGTAAATGTACAAAATCCAGGTGTTTACAGGCTGCAGATAAACCAGCGTGTGTCTCAGTGGGGTGATAAGGATAGAGAGTCCTGTGCCCATGCAGAGATGCAGATGTTTGTGCGAACTGGCTTCCTCTCGCTGGGGATTGATCCCATGCTCTTTGCCCCCCACCTTGCTCCCTCCAGTATTCCCCTCGTGATGGCTGCAGTGTAGACTTCCAGTGCTAAAACCAGGCACTGCTGGGCTAAGGGAGAGCTCTTGGTGGGTTTCTGGCTTGGGCTGGGAAGGGGGGTGCCACCACCCCCTCACTTATACCTCACCCACCATCAGCATCAGGCAGGACGGGGGGAAACAGTGGTGGCTGGAAAGTTCTTGGCTCAAAAGCTCTCTTGGAGATTAGAAGTTGTCAGTCAACACTTCTCCATTTAAACTGAGTCCCTGGCTTGAGCTTTCTGCCGCTGGTCATTACAGAAGCAGCTGGGAACTGAGCCCCAAGGCGTCTCTGCGCGTACGTCTGGCAAAAAGCGTTCACGTGCCACCTCAGGCCTGCTCTTCCTGTTCGCTTCTGTTCAGCTCGCCCCGCTGCCGCCCCGCTCCCTAGGCCAGCCGGGCGCCCTTTCTTTTACTGACTTCAGTTCCTGACACCATGTGCTGAACTTGCTTCTAACGTTTCGTGACGCAGCCTGTTCGTGTGAAAAAAGGCGGGCTGCTGTTGTGGTTATGCTTCAAGCTTCGTTTCCAAGCTGTTTTCACAGATGCTGTTGGAGAACATCGTCTCCCTCTTCCCCTTACGCTGCCCCTCCCTCACAAAGTCATCAAAGCTTTTTAACTGAAGGGGAGATGCCAATTTCTTAAATGGCTTCTTTAAGGGAAAAAGGAGGACAAAGCTTTAACACACAGTATAGGAATACAGAAGACTTTTGGTAGTTTTATAATGACATTTTATTCAGAAAATAGTCTGTATAAAAATATTTACCAATATTTTGAGTTTCTAAGTTGAAATCAAATGCTATTCCTATGTCCAAATCTAGAATTTTCTTTCTTCCAGTATGTTTTTCCTCTCCTCTTCCTCAGTGTTCTCACAGTAAAGGCATCTACTGAACACTGACCAGCTCCGTGAGCAACCCCAAGCCCGGTGCCGCTGCGTTTGCATAGAGGCAGAGCTTTGCACACACCGTTTTGGCAGACACCTGGCCATTACGCAGGGAGACAGCCCCCCCCCCCCCCCTTCCCTCCCGCCCCAGGAGGGGGGGGCGTCCGCAAAAATGCCCCTCCAGGAGAGGCAGGATTGCTCAGGGGGTCTTGCAGCTGGCTCAGCCATGAGGTCAGGCCAAGCTGGTCTTGGGACCCTCCGGTGTGTCAGACTGCTTCCAAAATGTAACAACATCTATGTTGACTACAGCACCAAAGTACCGGGCTTCCACTTCCCAACTCCGTAGCAAGCCACAACACTGTTATATGTGTGCAAGTCTTCCAAAATACAGATGGAAATTTACATTGGGTTATGTAGAAGATGTATTCTTTTAAATTCCTATTTTTAGTGTACATGATGCTTTTTGTTTAATGTAAAGCAAGCAGTGCTTAATTCTAAACGTGGTTCTGGACAAAGCCTCATTGCAAGTTGTCTGCATGAGGAAAAAATACAAAACCCATCCTGTTTTCAAGGGGGACTGTAAGGGACCCAACTTGTAATGCTACGAACAACGCTGGTGGCTGCCACGGGCAAAGCTTTCTGCAGAGCCCTGTCACCCATCCTTGGGGTCCCGTGGCAGCTCCGTCACACGTGTGCCAGGAACCAGCTGCCTGCTTCTCGTAATCCTCGTTTGTAAACAAGCGTGCTCGCACGATGCTGCTCACCGTTACCTGTAGATGCCATTTGAAAGAAACGTTCGCTTGTAGCCATCACTGCAGTGTAAATCTAAACCATGCAAAACCACATTTGAGCAGAACTAAGTGTTACTCATCCATCACCTTGGTAAGGGCCCTGAAATAATCTCTGGATTGTAATATAGATACTATTTACAAAAATGTAATTGCCTCCGTCATTTTTCTTTTGGTTTAGAGTCTAAACAGGTAAAACAAAAGAAATACTTAATGTTTCCAGAAAGGACTGGTTTTAAGTAACAGGCTCAAGGTCACAGAATACGCTGCTAATGGTTAGTTGTGATGGAGCTTGCAATAAATTATCAAGAGTGCTCTGAATAACCACAAAAGTTTTAAACAGTGACTACTTCTGTGGTAACAGGTGTTTGAATTAAGTGCATTACAGGCATACGCCATGCATATCAAACCAACACTCTGATTTTGCAACCGCCTCCACACGTGACCCAGCAGCCCCAGAGCACTCAGCTGTACGAGTCCTTTCTGTGCAGAGCTGGATGCAAGCGCCTGCGCGCGGGTATACAGGCACACGCGTGCCCACCGCGCGTAATGGAGACACGTGAAACCGTCCTCGTGTAAGCGATGCCTTCCCCTCGGCAGAGAGGCAATTCCTGCCAGCGGAGCAGAAGTATCGGAGGTGCAGCTAGGAGCTGAGGGTGGCGTTACGCTGCTCCAGTTGCTTCCGTATTTGCGACTAGAACAGAAAGACAATCCATCACTGTTTGTCTGCATGCACGTGGGTGTGGGTGAGTATGACTAACCCAAACACTGACATTTTTAAGGAAGTAACGCTTTCAAGCCTTTATGCTGTCTTCTCATTGTTTCCTTCATGCCCCAACACATGTGGTCTGTGCCAACGCTCCACATTGCGTACCATCTACACAATGACATCCGCAAAGATGGAAGTAGTTTCTTCTTCCCACTGAGTATGTGTGTTAAAAGCGCATCCCGAAAATATGAAAATGGGTTAGCAGGCATATACTGTTATGCGAAAACTACATATTCCAGTCTAGTTGGCCTGGAAGCCAGAACAAGTACTCCCTTCTCGCAGACACTGAGAACTGTGCTACAATATTGGGGGGTTTATGAAGGCAGTACCAAGGGTCGTGCTGCCTGAGGCGTACTGCCACGTAACACTGCACATTGCCTTACCAGTTTCCATCGCAGTATTTTAATCCATTCGTCAGCTTCTATTCCAGTTTTTGCGCACAGGTAGTATGTCCTTAGTGGGAACACCAAACTGAAAGTAAACATTTAAAACTATTTCTTAAATCGCTAGAACAACGGGTAGTTCTTCCTAAAAACTGAACCCAGCTGGCCTGCACCAACAGTTGTTCAGACAGCGCAGGGCAGGGAGGCCGTGCTCCCATTCGGTCACCAGGAGGGAGGTTAGCCAAGAAGGGTTTACAGTCGTTTACCGCTCAGGGAGATGCTGCCCCAGGCCCATAAGGACAAAAGACCCACGTTTGGGCACAGAAGCGGTTACTGTGTGACCCATACCAATGTCTGAACTAGGAACTGGACCGTACCTAAGTTCCATGGGTGCAGGTGATGATTATACATGCTTACAGAACTTGGAAAAGAAATGCCCGCTACACATAGGCCTACACCCTTCTTCCTCACCAAGAAAAAAAACTTTTGCCAGCGGTAATTTGGCAAAGCCATGCAGGACTGACAATAGACTGGCTGACAGAAACTGACTTGTGAGTCAGTCACCGCAACTGGCAAGGGAGCTTTCAGAAGCAGCCAGCGGTTACATTTCAAACTTCCCTGGCTATTTTGACCTTCCCAGCCAGGCGGAGAAAGTACAGCAACTTACCAGAAACAATTGACTCTTTCCTGGGAATAGTCAAATTGCACGGCTGAGCATTCAGTTAAGTCAAGTGCCCGAATTGGTTCCGTGGCCTTGAAAACAAAATAGTTTTAAAGTGGGAACACGTGAAAACAGAAGATAAGGCTAGCTCGGTTCATCTTCAGTGCACTAGATCTTTACAGGCACACTAGGTTTTCCCAGGCATAAGTACAATAGCTGTAACACCATAAACCCAAGCTAGCAAACTAACATCACTGCTAACATGATATGAATTGAGCTAAATATAAAAAAAAAAAAAAAAAACAAAAAAACCAGGACAGTCAATTCAGATCTAGACAAACAATAGAGGAGATCTCTACTGCAGGGAAGTTTGAGCTAGATGCAGGCTGCTGAGGGTTTGGTTGATGCATTATAATGTAACTGACAGAGCAGCAAATCTGACACCACTTCCAGCTAAGGTTTACAGAGACAAGAGGATGGTTATAGGTCTTATCAGGCCTAACCAGCTATTGGGAGATCTAATTAATTCCTAAGTAAGTGCTTTAATGGGATGAAGCTGGGTAGGGAGAAATGTAGAAGCAAAGCTAAAGCAGTGCTTGTAGCAGAAGCGATGAGTCTGGCTGCATGAGCAGTACGTGTACTTCTAAGTTTCTTGGGACAGGTCCAGGAGTGCTCAGGTGCAGGGATGCAGCCTGGCTGTGTATAACCACAACCCATCTCCCTAAAAGTTTCATTCTCCCTGAATGTGTGAGAGTTCTTGTGATTTGTTTGAGACTTGTACTGTTGAGCACCTTAGAAGAGGCAGCTGAAGTAGAACAGCTTCCTCCCTGCCCAAACACCCTTAGCTGTTCCCATGGTCCTTTGTCAGGTGTGTGGAGGTCTTTGCTGTTTCACCTTTCCTTACATTTCCCTCTGGCTCAGTGGCTGTTAGTTATACACTGCACTAGAAGAAAGCCACTTTGTGTGCTGAGGTGTGCTAGCGAATGCTGTCCCAGGGCCAGCAGCGAGTTGCTCACCTGTGGGTATCTGCAAACCCACAGCAACAATGGGCGCACCAGGGGATACTGGAGCTGCTGCCCGGGAGGAGGCCGTATTCCTGACAAAGACACCTTCTCGCCTGGTAAGTCACAAATGCTTCTCAAACGTTTGGAGTGCTGCCCTTTGAAATGTTATCCTGGAAACTTAATTCAAGTTGGCTTGAACTGAAATGAAAACTGAGGGAAGGCCTCGTAAATACATAACTGTTCATAAATGGTAATGTTTGGTGAGAGAGGGCAGTTGTGTCTGCTGTTGTGTGAAAATCTGTTAGATGCTTGAAATAGGGCTTGGCAGAGGTGCAGAGGTAAACAGTTGGGCTCTGTTTATGAAGGAACCCGAACTGGAGGTATTGTAAGGGTGGAGAAACTCTACAGATATTTCTTATTTTTACTCAGTTTAAGACAGAAATGGAACAGCAACTGTAAAGACACACTGTTTTTCCCAGATGCAGCAGGTTAATATATGTCAGAGTCCTACGAAGAAAGATGTTTTTAAAGGAATGGTTTTCTATGTATACTATGTGACCACCCAAAATAAAAGGATGAACTCAAGGAATGTAAAATATACTAATAGTATTTGCAGAGATGTTTTAATAGCACTGCTGTCTGTTAGGTTGTGTGTCAAAGCTACTGAGAAAAGCTGTGTTGTGCTGGTAGCTTAAAATCCACTGCACAAAGCAACCAAAAATGCAGTGTAAACAAGAAGTCTATCTAGTAGGCAAGACTGACAGAGCACAGTAAATGATTTTGAGCTGTAAAACTTACTTTCTCTCGTTGAAGTCATCAGCAAAACTCTGACTTTATTTGAAAGGTCTGACCCCTCTGACAGTATGGGAAGCTTTAGCTTGGGAAGCTGTGATACAGATGCGAGAAGCCAGAGATATGAGGAGGCTGCAGCTGCCTCTGCAGAGGTTTAAAGAGTAGGACTGGTGTTTGCTACTTACTGTCTGATCTTTGAAATACTTAAGTTCATTCCTATGCAGTGTAAACCACCTTGTCTTCCAATTCTGAAAGATCAAGAACGGATGGTAATTGTTGTCTGAGAATTTAGTGTAATGCTTCTTATGAAACACAAACCTTTAAAGCTGTTGACTTGCTCTGGTTTACAGTCATGCTTTGTTGTTGCTCAGAACACAAATTGTTCCTCTCTGCAGGGGAATGCAGGTGGAGCTATTTCAGCTCCACATTGTCTCTAGCTTCTGTGGGTGATTGCAGAGTGAAAGCAAGGAGTAAGAGTTTTCCTTACCTTGACTATTTTGCCTTGTTTTATCAAATATCCTTCTTTTGTACCAAGCTGTGAAGTAACAAGGAAAGGGATCAGGGTTAGAGAATGAGCTCTACTTCTGTTTCCCACACCCCCCTCTTTGCCTACATCTGGAAGAAGGAAGAGCAGCCTGTTCTTTGGGAAACTTCCCATGGCCGCTTGCCCTGTCCCCACTCCTGTGCTCCCCTCCCACGGCTGGATCCACCTCTAGGGTAGACGTGGACCTGCACTGGCCCTGAAGGCAATCTCCTAGACTGTGCCTCCCTCAGCAAATTTCTGGCTTGCATCTTCTCAACCAAATGCAGCAAAATAGCTGCAGTTACAGTTTATTTAGTAAAGTTAGATGGTTGCCTCCATACATGTTGTAACTGGAAGTACCTGGGGGTTAGCTGACAGCGGAATTATCCACAGAAATTGCTCCTGAAATGCAAGCAGGGGGGAAAGTGTTGTTTTACTTGGGCATTCTCTTCTCTCGAACAGCCAGGTGCTTGAGAGGAAAAACCTGTTATGTTCAACGTGCTTATTGAAAAATTGTTTTTTGAACTGTTTCTCTGCCACCATGAGAGATGCTGGGACCTTATGACCTCTCAGATACTGAAACTCCGTGTCGGGACCTTGTTGTGGGAGTGC